GAATGACATGATTGAAATTGGTATTTCCTTTTTTCATAAACAGGGGAGAATCTGTACACAGAGAGTCTAACTGCTCAACATCTCAGGCTTCGGAACAACCACGTGGTATAGTGCAGAAATAGTAGGCTAGCACGGCCAGGTCCCTTATCTGCTCAAAATCTCGTATCTGCTATTATTTTAGATTTATACATAATACATGCATAGATAGGACAAACAGTCATTCATTGATAACACAATCAACAGTCGGGTAGCCAAAATTGCCATTCTTTTTCTTTCATCTCTTACCAGATAGTACAGTCAACAGACACACCAGAACAGAAGAGCTGGTTGTTTTCACTGCCTTGGGGAGCTCACCCCCTCACCAGTTGTTTCATCATCCTGACATTTCCACCACCTCATCGCCATCTCTTCATGTCTCCAGTGTAAAATAAACAACACACACCACTTTAATTGTTGGCCTCTAAAACCTCACCAGACTTGTCATCTCTAAATTTGTAAATTGCCATTTCATTTCATTTCATTTCTTCTTTTGTAATTTTTTTTTGTGCATCGAAATTTGTCATCAATTATGTATTCTTATATAAAAGAAATGAATCCCACACATGATGAAAAATAACTAAAAACTTTACTCGTAGTTGCAGAGTACAATTCATAAGCAAGGAGAAACCTGCAAAACTATGACTTGGTTGGGAAAAAAAACAACCCTAAACAAGGTTGTCTACGGCAGATGAATGGAATCACCGCCACCACCAAAGCCGAAAGGCAGGAGGAACCCGTACTTGGATTTGAACCGAACATAGCAACCAAACACTTACTAAGTATGCTCATGAAACGGGAAAACTAATCCCATAAACATGTGCAATACCAAGACCCTAAATAAACACAAAGGAAAAACTATGATCTCAGACAACAGACTTCCGTAAGACTGAAAAATAAGGTAAGCTTGATCAGACACGCCAACTAAGGAATGTAGGACAAAGCTAAAAACACCAGGTAAACCATCCAGTGCAACAAAAAGAGGACCGAATGCAAGTGGAAACACCTTGTCTCAGCGGTTGGTGACTGCATTCTAGGGGAACCATGGCCATGAAAGAGGCAGCCTCCCGTTGATGAGGGGGCTAAACAGTTGAAACAGGCTTTCCCATGTTAAGAAAGCCTGCAAAAAAAAAAAACGACGACCGACAAAATTATATGCCAAAGTCCCCCTGGAAAACAACCAAGCCACTGAGCTACCAAGCAGGGCCACTGCTGATGAGCCAAAAATGTTGTATGCTGAACGTCGCTACCCGCGTGAACTGACTGTATGAACTTAACATCTACGATATGACAAGTCGAACTAGAGTTCTTTGGATTTCTTGATCTTACCCCTACGTAATATCTACTTCTCCCCCTTTGCCACATAGGCATGTTGTTCCATTCGTGATTAGGCCAGGATATCACATCTCCACAAGCTCTCGACAAGTAGCTCAACTGATCTGTTGCTGATTGCAGTACAGTTTTGGAGATTCAACCCCACCAGGGTCTTGCCCAATTTCTTCAGGGAAGAGAGGCTCTTGTGTGATATTTCAGAACAGCCAGAAATGGAGAGGACTTGCAAATTGATCCGATCTGCACAAGAAAGGAAAGCAAGGCCAGAATCTGTGATTGCACACTTGGATACATCTAGCTCACGAAGAAACAAGCAGTTGTCTGCAATTGCCGCCAAGCTTGCATCAGTAATCTTCCTGCACCCATCGAGACTCAGTACCTCCAGAGTCTCCCCATGTAGCCTCGCTAACGCCACAACTACTTCATCTGTCAAATTCAAGCAACCATTAAGATTCACTTTGACAAGTCCTTCCTCCAAACTCTCTAGAAGCGAGAGAATCCCAGCATCTGTCATTCCACAGAGACCACTCAGGTCTACATTCTGGAGCTGAGGGCACAACCTTCCTACCAGGGCCAGGCTAGCACTACCAAAGCCAGGGCAGTTTCGAACGGACAAGGATCGAAGCGATATGCAACAAGAGAGCATAGGT